ATACAAGATATATGTTACTTCTTCTTGTTGCAACATTCCTTGATATAACTGAAGGTTGCTTAATTATTGGAGCTAGAACACTCCTACAATGTCCACATGCAACTGAAAAACTGACAGTTGCCATGTACTGCTTATGTTATCACTCAAACTGCAGACAAAGAAAGTTGCACTTTGAGATTCAGAAGACTCATGACTTTATGTAATTACATGGCTGGCATTAGTCCTACTCCATAGTAGTACAGGGTGTTAGTAACATGATACTGATACAATCACAGAATTTGTTTTGCTGTTATCTTCAGTTTTAAAGATATACATTACACAGAAAGATAAACTGAAGCTGTACAGATTCAAACACAATTTTATAATCTAACCTCTTGGTTAAGATTAATGCAAAGCTCCCATTCACTCCTTACCTATCATATCCTTTTCTGTGCTAGTGAAATGACTGAGCCGATATGGTAGGTTCTACTAGATCTGCCACAATCTGAGTTATGCAATGCCTTGGTGCTGACTATCTACTGAATTCATTCAGTATATATTTTAACAACTATGCACAATTATTTACTTTTCATACTTTTTACGACATAATTTGGGCATGAGCTTTAAGTTATAAATTTTAGCTACTTCTTATGGAATTACAGTTTCTGAAGTCGGCCTATAAGGAAGGTGATCAAAAACAGAAAAACTCATTTAATATAATGTACTCCCACGTGTAGGTATGACTATAGATGGGGTTTTGGATTGAATATTGGATTTATTGACCACTTATACACATGACTAGGAACTACAACCAATTACAGCTCCACTGTTAATCTCAACACTTTACAAATCACCACAGCACCCATCAAGTTTTCCAGCTTGCTGTGTGTTCAGCAGCCGTTCCCTGGTAACGGTTTATAACAATAGAGATTCTTCAGCTCCTGTGCTCAAGTCCTCTCTTCACAGTCTCCCATACAGAATTAATTTGGTTGCCCCAAATATCTTGCTTATACCCCCTTTGTGTGGGTTGAATAGAACACACCGTTTCCAACACTACCTCTATTGTGCATGTGTATTTGTTGCCGCCGGATCATGTTTACCAAGCCGTTGCCTAGAAAGGAATGATTTTTCAGAGCTGTTCGCTGCCCGCAGTTGTTTCTCTGTCTCCACAGTTTTGTTTTGAGCCAATATGCCAACTGCTCCTTCCTTAAGGCTACTCGTCACGAGTAGCATATCAATGTGTCACAGTTCATTCCTTTCCAAGGACTGTGTCTATTTCTCATGGTGACTGTTCTCGAACCGCTCCTGCCTTAAGGTAGCTATTCCTGAGCTGTTCCCACTCAGAGCGCCAGTCGGTCCACGTTTATCATCATCATCATCCGTTTCCACTTGGTGCAGACAAAATATCTGAGAGTGGTCAATACTTCTACATCTCCAGTTCTTACTATGTGTGCAGTGTCTTCTTTTGTTTCAGATAGGGACGATCCCTCCACAATGTCCAGTCCCTTATTTTATGTAGCCTAATGAAAGTTCAGAATGACCTCCAGCTCTACGGTCTTTCTGCCAGATGTCCTCTCCTTCCTCAGCTGTAGTTTCATTTTAAGTCTTGGTCCCTTATTCCATTGATGCCTTCTGGTTTCACAGATGATTCTTCCTGAATGTCCCTCCTTTCTGGGTTCATGGCATATCCTTGCCCTGGCTTTGTCCCTGGCAGCAGTGTCCCTTACACTGTACAGGAATGGTACGGCAGGTAATCCCTCTACAGGCGGCGGCCAACTTCTTCTAACACCCACCATTACTCTGGGCCTGTTTCTTCGGCTTTCGGCTGCACCCTACAGTTGGATGCCGTTCTTCATACGGCTTCTTCAGTGCTATGACAGGTTTCACTGCAGCTTTTCGTTAGGGACTTCTTGCTGCTCCATTTCGGTCTCTTTTTCTTTAGGATTTGTCTCCAAATCCTTAATCTCCACGTCTAGAAGGCAAATTTTAATTTTGACTTCCAGTGGTTACTGGCCCGTCTCTACCCTGGACACCATCGCTTCTCCATGAGCCTTCATCTTATTTCGCCAGGCATTGATATTGGCTTTCATCCTTTCCTGATGGGTGTCCATCATGGATATTATTTCTTCTTGAAAGGACTCTGTCCTGGATTGGTGGATATCCATCCTTTCCCGGTTGGTTCTTATGTTGTCTTTCATTTCTTGTAGCATATATTGCATGACTTTCAGAAGTCAGCGATATAACAATCAAGATCCAATGCAGTTTATAATTTGACCATTTCTGACACCAGTTGTCACGTGTATGAGTGACTCTCGACAGGGTTTTGGAGTGTATAATGGATTTATTGATCACTTCACCACATAATTCATAATTACACTTAATCATAGCACTATTGCTAATCTCCACACACTTAACAAATCACTAGAGCACACTAAATCTTTTCCAGCCTGCAGTGTCTTCACTAGTAGTTGCCTGGTAACGGTTCAAACAATGGATGTTCCTCTTTTCTGCACTCAAGTCCTCTCTGAATCGTGGCTCCATTCCAACTGCTCTTTTCTTCACTAACTCCTGCACAGAATTCACTCGATTGCCTCAGTTGTCTTCCTTATAGTAACTCTTTTGTACAGCCCAAGCAGAAGACACCGTTTCAACAGTACCTCTATTGATGCATGCATATCCATTGCACAGGAACATGTTTGCCCAGCTGTTGCCTAGAAATGAATGTTGCTTCAGAGCTGGTGGCTAGTAATGGCTGTTTCTCTGGCTCAACAATTCTTGCTTTGAGCAAATATGCCACAGTAGATTATGCAAATTTATGAAATAAAAGTGCCTTCACTGAAGATGAATAGAGAAAACATATACTCACATGTTTACTTCAATATGATTTTATAACTTATTTTACACAATTGTAGTGTTGCACTTAGTATTCCAAGCTAAAAATAATGAACACTGTGGAGTTACAAGGTAAGAAGCCAAAAATTAAGTTGTACTGAAGCTATAGGTTGTGAAGGTGCTTCTTTTTGTTTTGTATGCAAGAACTTTACCTGAAGAACAGTCAAAACTCTCTAATTTTCAATTAACAGCAGAATTACACCTACAAGAATAGCTCAAACTGCATAAGGTCCAGATTTGCATTAACAGATGATATCAGAGTAACAAATCTATTTTGTTCATAATATATCATCATAAGCGCCAGTCATCTAAAATGTTGACGTAGATTAGTAGGAACAACACTTATAAATACAGTTATAAAAAAACTGCATTATTTCTATGGCATCAAATGAACTCATAGGTATTATCCGAAAAAGAAAAACAATTAACCAAATATTATTACAAACCATTTTAACTTGGCATTAATATGTACAATATGGAAACTCGGTGCAGGAATAAATGTAGTTTTACGGTAATTTTACAACATGTACAGTTCAAACCTAAATTGAACTGATTGGAATACTATGTATTGCCTGATATGGTGATAACTGTGATATGACCAAATGCAGTATGGTTCTGTTATGACGCAGACCTGTTGCCAGATAAGCAAGTCAAACCACACTTGGCTACTGTTGTAGTGATAAAAACATGTTTACATTACTGACTCATGTGAGTAAGGTAGGGTAGAAATTGCCCTTGTTTTCATGGTTCATTGTGCTAAAGTTTGCATTATTTTAATTTTATTTGAATTCTATGAATGCAGCCAGAATCCTGATACTCAGATATTTGAGAGTATTATTTGGCACAAAAATTGGCACAGAAAATTTGATTAGAAGATTATAGACCCTTCATGTAAAATATTTAATATTCTAGTCAGGCGGATAAGTTTATAAATTATTCTCTCTATTCCCTTAGTAAGAAATTTTAACTAGGAGATGGATATTTTAATAAAAATTAATGTAATTCCTGCTTCTCACTCTGTTTTATACCTCTGCAACCCAGAAATGTTAACTGAAGTAGAACTAAGAGCATTAATTTAATGCTTCATTCATATATATTAATAATGAAATGAAATTATATCATACTTCAGAACAAAATCTTCAACATTGTTTACATATTATAGTCTAACTGGAAAGCTTAACCAAGTGTACATACTGTACATGTACACTGTTGCTATGGTTATCCTTTATACTTTTTTAAGAGTGTGCTGTGTTTAACTACGTTCAAAGAAAAATTACATAAAATAATTTGCTGTAAAATAGGTAAAATTGCTGTAGCTTCAGGCATCTTAAGGGCTTCAGCTTTTAAAGACCCATTTCAAATTGGGATGGCCATGTGATTGAATTGTACTCTCTAATGTAAGTTGGCTGCCAGCAGTATTCTGCTTCATACTGCAATATTGTTGCAATATGAGTAATGATCTCTCTTTAATATTGGTCATAATATAGCATAAAATATAAGAACAAAGGTTACACATATTAAATAGGTTGAAAAAGTGTGGGAACAAGAAATCAAGACCTATTTGAGAGTTACTATTATTCACCAAATGGGCTAGAAAAAGCCTCAGTCAGGATAGCCCTTCCATGACTGTAACGTTTCTATAAGTGTGTTTACTCAGTACATAGTACAGCATCCACATAAGCATGGCATTTGATTTGTTAGACTAAAATTTTGCTTAAAACTGTTATTTACTTTAGTTATACTCACCATATTATTAATTTACACTTCACGGAAAGAAGCCTTCCAAATGTTTATTAGAAGTTTGGTTTGTACCTCCAGTAAAAAAGAGAACTGAAGGATACCTGTAAATTCACCTTATGTGCAAAGGTCAGAAATATACAGTCATAACTGGAGTTACAGTAAGTCATATAAGCTCTTTGAACTGTTAAATGTTTACATATTAAGGGCTTCAGACAGAGTTACAGTTATTACTTATGCTTTTATTTACATTAAATTTTGAAAGCAAATGCCAAAATATGGGTTATTTCAGCTGTATTCTGTTATGCAATTTAATTGATCTTTCCATTTACTAAGTAGATTAAACAATAAAATTAAATTTCAGGGCAGTGGTATAGGTGTTACATAATCTGGATATATGTAAATATCTACAGAATCTGTGGTGAGTATTCAATTTATCAAGTTTATATGATAATAATGACAATAAAATATTTTACTTCAGTTTCATGCTGATTGTCTTTGATTGGCCAGAACATCACTATAAATTCTTCCCCAGTTTTTTTTAATTTAGGTAGTAAAGGCAACATCTAATTTCAGTCTATGGAAATCCAGTATGTGAGGAAAGACACAGTTAAATAGTTGTGGTTTCTCACAGCCTGTAATTTATTTTTTCATGTCTATGCACATGTCAGTGGTAAATACTGTATTTAATGTCGGTTACAGAAAGTAGGAATTTTCTCCCCAACCCGTATTTGATTTCACCACGTAATATAACAGTGTTTCCGAATCTGTGGTTCATGAACGTTCCATTGGTGACCCATAGAGGTTTATGATGTATACACCTCTCTTTGAACTGCATCTCATATTTCCTTACACTGTCAACCATTATTAATTTTGAGGAACATTACAATATAATTGATGACTCAGTCATAATATTTTGCATAATAATTAATGTTGGAATAGCAAAATGCCATTTTTTTTTAAGAATTCACTGTCTAAAAGAATAATTAATCACAATGTGTTGCAGTCATGAAGCCAGTATTATTTTAAGTAGTTCTGATGGGACAAAGTAACTAATTCTGTTGCGTGTAGATAATGAAAGATGGCAAGGGAAGTAAATAAATTGGTTCAGAGGACTTGGATTTTTTGTTCAGGTAGGCCACAGACTTCAAATGTTTGGGACACGCTGTAGTGGAATCTCTACGAATGATGGAAGAGCTTCAGGAAATTGACAGAATGTGTAACTTCTTTAGCAGAAGTCAGAATATCACTACATTACAAAAGAAAATATCTCTTGCTGATATAAGCATGAATTGTTTTGTGGAAGAGAATTCCAACATTTATATTGGAAGTATCACTAATTACTATTTAAATTTTGAATATGCCCACAAATTTATCCATCAATATGAAAAAGTAAGACTTGTATTGTAGTTCCTTTTGTTACATTCATTGTAAAAACTGATATATCTGGTTTTGTACAACCCTGAGCAACGATTTTTTGTAACTCAAATTCCATGTAAAATGTTAACATTATTATGTTTAATGTTACTGAACTTACTCACAAATGTACATTCTATGGTTGTGTTCCTGGACTGTGTAACTTTCTTATTATTTTCATGATTGAATTCAAAATTAATATTTTTTTCCCAAAGACACCATGGTACCATATGGGATATGAAATGCCACACTATATTACTACTCTAATTTTTTTTACTCTACTTCATGAATCATCTAAATTGAGACAAATTATGGGGGAGATAAAATCTGCTTTCATTTCCCCATGTGAATTAATATGACACTCCCTTCCCTTCACAAATTTATTTAAATACTAATGAATCACACAACTATATAAATCGACATTTTGAAGTCTGGATTATATGATCAAATACATAAATAACAGAAGAGTACAGAATTATAAAGGAACTGACAAAATGAATATTCTGGAGGCAGCATGTATAATTATAAACTAATTATGTTTGTTATGTACAGAATGATTCAAGATCAGTATGCCACACTTCATCCCTACATGAATCAAGTGATCATGAATAAGAAAGTTCTGTTAACACAGGTCCAATCTGAGAAGTATATGGAGCCATGAGAGGCTGAATGTATGGTAAAAATGTAATGACTTAAGGGACTTTCATAAAAAATTTTCACAATAATATCAATGTAAAACTAAAATAAATGTTCCATTTGAGGTTTTTACAGTGGTGAGTACATCTTACAGGATGTAACACCATACAATTCGGTATAAATCCACTGACTTTTCGGAGGACAGCATTGCCTCTATCTTCAGGTTCAAAATGTCAGTGGACTTCTACTGAACTACAAGGCATTACAAGCCAGAATACATCACTCTTTCAATGAAATGTTATTTAGTAATGAAACATGTAACAAAAATTTTCAGCCTGTGGATAGACATCTCTGCCCTCATTATGAAAATTTTCTCTCAGGAAATATATATCTGTGTCTTTGTTGTTATAATGCTCTTCTAGGAGAATGCATGTCTGTGATAACACTAAGAAAATGCTCTCCCAGAGGCATATGCACCTGTGTCATCACTACAACCATGATATCTCAGAGAAGATCATGCTCTTTATGAATTTATTTGCGCAGCACCAAGCCTGCATGACACATCTTGGTCACCCCACTATATAAAGATTTCTTTAATGATAGCTTCAAGTCATTATTTCAGATGCAAATTTCCAAGTATCAGATTTACAAGGAATAGAGTTTACTTTTCTACTAATCACCTATAACACCACCCCTGATAGATGGAAAATTGTTTTAATTGGCTTTTTTCTTGTGTGTCTTTTACACATTTTTCATTAAATATGATATTTAGTGATTAAATGTACTTTGCTTCAAAGAAATATGTTTTTAGTGTTTTTGAAAATATCACATATTGAACATGAATAATCTGAAATGAGATATTCATTTTCATTTCATATTTGGCACATAATTTTTTTTTTAAATCTTATTTATGTAGAAACAAATGGTAAACATTTTGTAGTGTGTGATGACACAGCATCAACTTTTTTAATCTAAACAGGAGTTCACATCCATCCTTTTGCTCGGTGCAATTTCCACACCCCCATACAGGGTATGAAACAAGTCTATGGGTCACACAGGGCAATGCACTTTTCTGTACAGTTCAGTAATTATGTCATATTCAATAAAGATCAAGGATTCACTTAGAACCTGATGTAAGAGTTACTCCAGATTGCATCTTTCAGTATAGTATTCATATTTCACGGAAAAGAATTACTGTGTGGTAGTCAATGCTACACTGCATTGTTTCTGAGTAGATGCAAAGCATATGTGAACTATAATATGTAAAATACGATACAGCCAATCTGATATCAGAAAATTTGTAAGATAGAATTTACTCCAACATTTGATGAAACGTGGAATACTTGATGACAAGATGACTTTGTCATGATAACACAAATTGCAGAACACTGTCGCACTGTGTGTGACCTTTGAAGAGGGTAGGCACAATAAAAATATGACAGGTTAAATCATTTGCTTTTACAGAATATGTAATTCATTTTAACGGCTGTTAATACATATGAGTCATACACATATCTGGAAGCTTCTTTATTTAGCATATGCTCATATTTGTAGTTATTTAAATTATTAACCACTTTGTTTGACTTTTAGCTTCGGGGTATGTGTGGTTATGTTTCAGTTTCATTCATTACAAAAATGTGAACAACGTTATAATGCAGGTCGCTACAACGTAACTACAGACTCTGATGTTCAGTTACAATATAAACATCGGCTATGAATCGTCCTACTAACTTGTTCTGGTATTTATATTAAATACCAGTTCTAGTTCATTGTTTCAATAAAAAACGTACCTATTAAAAAGGTCATCAAAACGACGACTAGATTGAATAGCCTCACAAAAAAGATTCAGTTAACATTGTCCGTACATATTATTAGCAATATAAATGCGCGGAAGAGTCATTTGAATAACCCGTTCATTAAATGTAAAACAACAATCAACCATTTATTCACAACCAAAATTCTCAAAGCTCAACAATACCTAGTTATTGTATTGTGTGTTCTCGAGAAATTCCAACAATACAACTTTAATTTATCGTATTGTGGATCGTGGAAACCACACACTTTTTTTGAAGTGGTGACACTATAATAATTTATTAATATAATAACTATGAATAAGTCATTGGATTGTTTGCTTTTTTGTAGCCAGCAATACAACCAATCGTTGTACTGCGATTCGTAAATTAAGTCACCTCCGTTCACAATACAACCAATCATTGTATTGCGCAAGCTCATATACCAACTAATTTGATAGTCATCTGTGTATTAAATTACGCTCTCCTCTAGTTTCAACTTGTAACTATGTATTTCTAAAATCTCTTGCTATCTCCCTACTGGTCAGCGTTATGTCGCCGTCATCTGTTTCGTCGGTCCAGTCTGTCTGGTCTGTGGCATCACGTCATTCTACGTGATTTTGTGTGATGCTCTCTGTCAGGGATGCACTATTACCAAGACTATACAATAAAGAGTAAAATGTAACAAACGCCGATTATGTGACGATAATGTGCGGAGCCGAGAAGAGCACTGCTATAGTTGCAATAACTGTGAACAGAGTAAAGACGATGAGGCACAGTCTGTCAACTACCATTGCGGCGAACTTCCAGTCGTTCGTCACTTCCGCCGCCTCGTCCTCTTTCCTCAACTTGTCCGTTATCACGCGGAGCTCCTTCAGGATGAGTGTGAGTTCCCGGTGAGGGCCGAGACACGATGAACTCCCACCGCTCCCGTGAAGCAGTGTCCCTCCACCTCCTCCTCCATCTTCGTGGTGTGTGTGAGCACCCCGGAGGAATCCTGTTGTAGAAACCGCGCCCGATGTCTGGAGCGTGCCCGGGTGATGTCTGAAATCATCGTCGATATCCAACACGTTCGCGAGGAGGCTCTTGGAGGATCGCTCCTTCAATTCCAGCTCGCGCATCTGCAGAGACTTCCGCGACGAGTCCGGCTCGCTCCCGGGACGACTCATTCTCAATATGCAAGGCAGCCAGTGTAAGAATATCGTTTTGATCTGAAACCAGATGCAAGAACTTGCGTTAGACAAATGGACATTTCATATAACGTGGCTCCTAATGTTTGTCCCAGCTCACTCTTGAAGAGTAAAATATCTTCCGTGTACTCCCCATCTAAAGGAAAGTGATGATGAAATTGTCTCCACGTGTAATTGAACTTAATGAGAGACTAGAGGTATAGCTTCACGCATTCTTAGTCTCGGTACTAGTTTAAGATGAGTATCAGCTTTAATCCCAAACCATTTTACTAATAGGGAAAGAGCACCGCTACTCTTTCGGTAGGAGGATGTGTGAAACTGCAGCGAGGCTGGACGCGGTGGAGAAAAGTCAGATTTCTCATCTTAAGGTAGTTAGAGAATCGGGAATCATGCACAACCGTAAGAGTCCAATATTACTGCACGATATACAAATATATAAAATGTCAACATCATATAGTACAATTCCCCACAGTAACATTTCATGGAAATATGTTTAGAGGCTCTCTCGCCTTTTTCCAGACAGGGACAGACCCAAGAAGAAGGACTATAATTTTGCCAGTGGTTCTGTATGGGCGTGAAACTTGGTCTTTGACATTAAGGGTGGAACATAGACTGACGGTGTTTGAGAACAGGGTGTTGAGGAGAATATTTGGACCGAAGAGAGGTGAAGTGACAGGAGGTTGTAGAAAACTGCATAATGAGGAGCTTCATAACTTGTTCTCTTCTCGAAATATAATTAGAATGATCAAGTCAAGGAGGATGATATGAGCAGGGCATGTAGCACGAATGGGGAGAAGAGGAATGCATATAGGCTATTGGTCGGAAAGCCAGGAGGAAAAGACCGCAGGGAAGGCCAAGGCGTAAGTGGGTGGACAATATTAAAATGGACCTTAGAGAGATGGATTGTGTGGATTGGATTAATCTGGCTCAGGATAGGGACCAGTGGAGGGCTGTTGTGAACACGGTAATGAACCTTCGATTCCATAAAATGCTGGAAGATTCTTGAGTAGCTGCACAAATATCAGCTTCTCAAGAAGGGCTCAGCTCCATGAGTGAATGAGTGATAATAAGAAAAACAAAGAAATGTGTGTTGAGTACGAAATAGATGAATTAGGAGAAGAGGGGATGGAGAGATTTCAGCAATCACATAGGTTAAAGAGAAAGTGGTAGAAAAGACTTGTGCCCACTTTGTGGACCTGCATGGTGTAATTCAGGTGACTGTGTTGTCGGTTTGCAAGGAAAGAGATGAAGCAAAGCCTCAGCCTATATGCATCTTCATGGATGAAGTCAGGAGGTGTTTTGTCATATCAGTGGCTTCCCTGAAGATCCAGAGATTGTAGATCCAGATATGACTATGACCTCTTTTCTACCGAAGTCGATGAGTGCTGAGTCTCTGTGGAGTGGTCGGTTACCGCTGATGTCCGGTTTTCCAGTTTGGTGTCTCTGATGTGTTGAGAAATGCTAGTGGAAGTGTGTGTGTGTGTGTGGGGGGGGGTTGGTTTGGCCGATACCACGTGGCCTCTCACTACTGGATAGCACTATGCTCCACTGCTTCTTCCAATCACACGTGCACTCCCACAGTCTGCCCACTGTCTGTCTACACAAGACTTTCTAAATCAACTTAAAGACTTTAAGCCTCAAGGTAACAACTGTAATTTTTGTTGAAACGTTAGAAACCTTACAACATTCCACGTGTCTTATTAAAAAAGAAAAAATCTCGAGTTATGCGAGCGTAACTCGCTAAATACTTATCAGAGCAGAAAATGTTTATAACAAAAATTGCAGAGAAGAACGAAACTTTTCTTTTATGACCTCTACAATTTTTTTACCCTGTAATTCTTACGGTTTCCGAAACAGTTAAACAATAGGGTATGAACGCGCCAGAATTGTTACTATTTGCATATTTTTCTTCATCTGCTCTGGGCCTAACCGACACTGAATAGTCTACTATTAATTACAGTACTGCCAAGATAACTCTCAGTTCTTTGCTTGTGCACAGGGAGAGGTCGATGTTTAATGGTGGGTGGAAGGAGCAGGAGTAGGGAAAAGACAGACTGGATGGACAGGTGGATGACTTGGTAGACAGACGGAAAGGAAATCAAATACATGCACAAATAAATAAGAAGAAAGGAAGAAATGAAAAAGACGAATGATAGGACAAAGAGCAGACGTGAAGGTGACTGGATGAACAGACGGACTGTGGCTAGAAAGACAGAGATGACATGAATACAAACAAAAATATATAAGGAGAGTGAAGAAATAAAGACAATTAACAAAAGAAGCAAAAAATATAAAGGTGGGTGGATGGAAGATGAATCGATGGAACTCAGAAAGAAATTAAATAAATAAGCAATTAAAAGAAAGAGACAAAGAAAACGAAATAAAATTTTCATAATGTACATAAGGCAAACTTTTCCCCTCTGCTCAACAGCAGGGTTTTATATTGAGATACTCGTTCTAATTCAGCCTCTTTCGATCTCGAATGTAGGTCAGCGGTGCAATTACGTGGAGTAGCTGAGGTTCTGAACATTTTGGATTTTGAAAGTGGGTCGCGCGGTGTCGAGTGGTGCATGCGTCTACTGCAGCAAGAGAGAGACAGAGAGAATCAATACGTCTGAGATTCCAGACGATTCCATATGGAATGGGCGTGGTTACGTGTTCGATGTATCGAACAGCCGGGAGAGGCCCAAACGCATTTCTTTACTACACTGCACTGTGTATGATTTGTTCAATCTAGGTGGACAAAATTTTGAGCCCAAAAATAATCTCCTATTTTATCTTCATTTCAGTTAAATTTTAAATATTTTAAATAAGTTATTTATAAATATTGGGGGCACGTGGTAGGGTAGTTGGTTGATACACTGTGCTACAAGCCGGAAGGTGACGGTTTCGAGTCCTGATGTGGTCACTGGATTTTTCAATTGACCTAATCCTTCTAACCGCACTATGGTACTGGGGTCGACTCAAGCTCCAACAGAAATGAGCACCAAGAATCTTCCTGGGGGTGAAGAGCGGCCGGCTCTAAAGCTGACAACCTCACCGCCCTCTATGAGCTGACTGTTTAGAAAATGTGGGAGCCTCGACGTCTCAGAACGCTTTGGGCCTCAACGACCTGTTACAGGGTTACCTTTTATAAAACCTCTGAACACAGAGAGCGAAGTGACGCAGAAATGCATGTAACTCGTTACGTAAAGCGCTCTTTATTATTTTCCGATTTTAACCAAACTTTTAATTTAGCAACAAACATTAATAATACTCAGAGATACTGGGGGTTCGGACTTTGTCCATCGTCTGGATTCTAAATAAGTTAGAAAAGGCACAACGTTTCGGAAACTGGATCTGTTTCCGTCCTCAGTTGAGGGAAGGCACCTACTCTGTTGGGTCCCTTGGAAATCACTGGACAACCGAAGTCACAAAACACTAAGGCTATAAACACCTGAGAGTTGTGAGATGTTGACGTTCCCACATCTTCTAGACAATCGGTTCATAGATGGCGGCATGGTTGTCAGCCCTATACACCGGCCTCCCTTTACCCCCAAGAATATTTCAAGAATGTTCCTAGTACTCATTTCTGTTAGAGGCTGAGTCGAGCCCAGGGCCATAGTGCGACTGGAAGGGTTAGGTCAATTGAATGAAATCCAATGACCTCATCGGGACTTGAACCCGCGACCTTCCGGCTGGTAGCATAGTGCGTCAACTCACTACGCTACCGCGTGCAGCGTGCTGCTATTGTCATATTTATCTGTCTGTAAGTGATGTATCAATATATTGTTGATCGTGTTTTGTATTTGAAAGACTGCTCTAAGTTGCATGTTTTTGAAAAGCTTAGTTCTTTGTCTTGCCTCTTTTCCGCAATATGTAAGAGTAGCCCCTTTTTGTGGTGTTTTGTTTTTATGGATGTCATAGTGGTTTCTCAAGTAGGTTTGTATTATATTCGTTTTCCTGTAGTATATTTTTATGGTGTTTTTTCGTTTGTTTTGATCTTTTGTTATGGGATATGTGTACAACCCATTTAGTAGACATGTAATACCTGACAGGTTATGTTCATATGGGTGGCATGAACTATAAATTATTAAAATATCGGTATGCCTAGTTTTCCTGTGTATTGAAAATTCTCAATTTTGTCTTTTGTGGTGTATTGTAAGATCTAATAGTTGATTTCCTCGTGTAGTTCTGTGACTGTCCAAACATGTTACAGTTCTCCGTGGACGCTATGGTCCTCATTAGCCATTTCGGAAGGGTGACTGGTTTATTGGGGAGACCGATTTATTAGCATGTTATGATTTTGGACAGAAAGCAACTGCCTTCTCGATAGTGAACTTTATGGATGGTTGTATGTTATTAAATTCATTGAGTGCTTGCTGCATGTTTGGTTTTGATCATATAATAAGTCACCTGCATATCTATAATACGCAATTATTAATTGTGTTTTAGAATTGGATATGTGTGTTTATGTTCCATGTGCTGTATAAATGTTTCTGCTAATATTGCCTATGTTGGGGCGCCCATGGCCAGATCCTCAGTTTGTTTGTCGGTCAAATTAGAAGTAGTCCTTTTCCAGCACTATTTTCAATATATATTTTAATATTGAGAATATATAGAGTGGGACATATGACAGAAAGCACCTCTCAAAAGTCGTACCCATAAACTTCAATTGACTTGAATATTACCATCTTCTGGGACACGACGCCGTGTGGATTATTGTCAACTGCGTTGGGAATACACGTCACCCTATCCCAGATTATAATAATCGTCATAATCGCCGTCGTAAGAACTTCAAATTCTTTTTTAAACTAAGAGTTCTGTCTTCTCGGGTATAACGCCCAGTAGCCCTGGACGTATAAGAAAGACGTCTTCAAATCACAGCTGTGAGAAACTCAATTCTTCTTACTTCTTCGATTGACGAGTTCTCGAAATATTTTGAGAAAATCTGACTCAGGTCTTTTCCGATTTCCATAGCAATGTTCAACCTCGCACACATCTCACGAAGTACTACACTGAAAACTTATGTGAACAAGGAAAAGGATATCCTCTCATACGATTCTCTGTTCAATTAATATTTCTATCTTCCGTTTTCGTATTAAAAGTTTCTGTTTATTGGAAGTAATTTTATATGTTGTTTTACTGTTTAAAAGTTTCTGTTCATTGCAAGTAATTTTACATTATGTTTTTCTATTCCTGTGCAAGTTTGGCGAGAAAAGAAAAACGCGTCTATCCTAGATTCTCATGTACTAATATGCATGTTTTACTAAAAGAAAGTAAAGCTATCCTTGTAACAGGTCATGGAGACCCATAGGGGTGTCAGACGTTGAGGGTCCCACATTTTCTCTAAAGAATTTGCTCAGAAACGGCGGTAAGTTTGTCAGCCTTACGCGCCGGCCACCCTTTACATCCAAGGAAGATTCCTGGTACTTATTTCTGTTTAAGTTGAGTCGATCCCAGGGCCCTAGTGCGGCTGAAAATCCACCTCATCGGGAATCGAACCGGCGACCTTCCGGCTTGTAGCATAGTGCCTCAACAAACTACGCTACTGCGTGCCCCCATGCACGTTTTACTCTGTATGGAAAAGAGTTATCCGAGAAATATCTGTTCCTAGGAAGGATTATTGAAATATAAATAAATTATATGACTTCTAGGCACATACCTATTGCTTAATACTCGTCGGCAGTCAAATAAGGTGGTAACACTGAGCTGGGCTTGTAAGCATAATATCAATGGCCGAAATAAAAATTGCATACAAATCTTTTTTTTTTTTAAAGAGGGCATTCTGAGAGTCCAGAATGTGGGACGGTAATATGAAAGTGGATCTTAGTGAAACAGATAATGAAGATGTATAACTGGAATGAAATGGCTCAAAACTGTCCCATAGCAGGAATGCATGAAACTAATTTCACGAAGAATGTATTTTGATAAGCCACCTGCCATTAAACTACTCAGGAAATTCCTGCCTTTTATGAAACCTAAAGCTTAGTCTCAGCATTCACTAGAGCCCGCCCTCGCTCTCTGTTCTGCGGCAGACGAAGTTGTCGACAATCAGCAGCGCGGTTTCTCTAAGATCCGTTGTGTATTATCCTCCCATCTACGCCTCTTTCTTCAAAGATAACCGTTTCTTTCAGGTTTACATGCCCTAACGTCGTACGGAATTCTGAGCTACTCCATGCTTTCTACATGCCCCGCCCATCTCATCCTACTTTATTCTGTCACATTAATAACGATGACTACGAATAAAAATGATGAAGATCGTCATTGTTCTATTTTGCGAAGGCGATACTTTTTGGTTTCCACAAAGCGAGGAATTTGGCAAACTGAATAATTATTCAACGCTTTTCTTTTCATGTTTGCTATGAATACAGGCATAAATTATATAAAAACAGAGTCAACATTTGTCCTGTTTCGTCGAAAGGGAAGTTATGAGAAATCATTAGCATAATGGAAACATCTATAGCATCCTATACCAGCCACATATAACAAATACCTTCGCAGCAACAAAACCAAAACAAAATACCATAAATTAAGTCACCAAAGTTGAACATAAATGGGATAGCTTTAATTAATTCGGTAAATAATTAATATGCTGACTACACAAACACACAAAGACAAATATTACTATTCATGGAAATAATTTTGGAACGTACAGCCACAGTGACTGACATATGCAATAGTAACGATATATCTCAAATTTAGTGTCACGAATACCACACAAGCACGCAGGACGAACAGGTAGAATTTATAAAACCAGATTTAACGAACATATTTATGATGTACGAACTAAAAAAATAAAATCAAAATTTGCGTCAGAAATTTTAGAGAGAAGATATTAATACTATCCCCTAAAAGATAATTTACGAATACTCCACAGAATGTAGAACGGAGCTTACATGAAAGCTAGAGAAATATATTACTTATTTACTTACTTACTTATGGAGCTGAGCCCTTCTTGAGAAGAAGCCAAATCTGCAGCTACTCAAGAATTTCCCAGCATTTTATGGAACCAGAAGGTTCATTACCGTGTTCACAAGAGTCCTCCACTGGTCCCTATCCTGAGCCAGATGAATCAAATCCATACCATACCATCATATTTCTCCAAGATCCATTTTAATATTGTCCACCCACCTACGCCTTGATCTTCCAAGTGGTCTCTTTCCTTCTGGCTTCCCCACCAATATCCTATATGCATTTCTCTTCTCCCTCATTCGTGCTACATGCCCTGCCATCCTCATTATGCAGTTTTCTCCAACTCCTCTCACTTCATCCCTTTTCGGTCCAAATATTCTCCCCAAAACCCTATTCTCAAACATCCTCAATCTATGTTCCTCCCTTAATGTCAGAGGCCATTTTCACACCCATACAGAACCACAGGCAAAATTAAAGTTTTGTGTATTCTAATTTTTATGTTTTTTGACAGAAGACGAGAAGACAGAAGGTTCTGAACTGAATGGTAGCAAGCATAGAGAGAAATATATTGCATTTATAAAATATGCCAATAAAGTCGACCACTTTATTGACCTATTTTCTGACACAAAATTTCCGATATACAATGTCATCAGCAGTGTGTCTGGCAACAACCAACCTTCCTAGAGGAAGAATTACCTCCCTACCATTCCCCCAGTCGGCGCTCACACACCGACATTCTTGTCATCAGGATGTCCATCTCCTCATGTAGATGCTTCAGACACAAAATACGATACCACCCACTTACATCATGTGAAATATAAGAAATCACTGTATGACTTCAATACCATTCTCCTTCCACGCCCAAACATCCCCCCCTAACATCTTTTATAAGACTCTCTACGCTATTCCTACAAGGATGCACTGCACCTCGCGATCTCTTCGGTGTGCAACTTCAAAAATCTTCACTTCATTATTCTTGCAAGTAAATCTTCGTCATTAGCCTGGAATTTCTTCAAATTAAAAACCGACAACTCTTTAACACTCCCCCTCCACCCGCTTATATTTTCGAAACAAACACTCAAGGTTCTGAACGTGAGCCGAAAGGAATAAGAAACAACACAAAACACAGTACCACAAAATTATGAGAAGGTACCTGGAGCTAGGAGTGTGTACCTGAAACAACAGCATCTTTTATATGGAACTGAAAGCCATATTGTCTAGAATAAGACAGACAGTGTTTTGCTGACATACAACAGATATCTGTATAAAGTAACCGACATTATTAACTTTTTTTATGCTTTTACTCATCTATCTATTGCATTAAAATGTGGACCTTTAGTATATGTGTTGCACCTTGTAATTACCACAAAATGGTCAAAACATGCAATGTAGAGGAAATCGTAGGGTTCTGATATATTTTTATCACTAATCTGAAACCCCCCAAGTGTTTAACTGTTGTTGTGTACCACAGATCTCAAGAGCTGGTTGTTATAAACATTAGAACTTACCCAAGGAGACATTTCATGTGTGTCTGCATTTCTATGATGATAGTTGAGTATCAAGATAGTTGAAACTACTGAAGAAGCGACCATGAACATAATACAGTTGAAATAAGTACCTGAAATTGGAAACGCAAATAAACATAAGTACAGCATTATAATAAAAACGTCTACGAAAATTTATTTTTATATTTTAAGGCCAAACTACATAATGTACAGGCTGAAAATGTATAGTATTGTTTTATCCACCAAATATAATTCAGTATTTTCATGCCTATTCACAGATAAATTACCATATTATTTTCACTTTACCCCGTGCAATTTACATAAGGAATAAAATATTTACATGAAAAGAGATTACAAAGACAGATATTGTCATATACTCATTTAGTAAAGTTATTTACTTTAAGGAGATTGGTATTTACTATGAACATTTAAGCCATGCATAGAGTATGAAATCTAGATGCCTTGTGAAATGATATGTATAGAAGAGTCACACCACACGTGCTGAAACTTCACTGCATCATCATTATCACCGTTCAGCACAAGTGACAGTGAGACTGGTGCTGCAGAATCTGGGAGGATTATAGACAGAGCCAAGCTCGTAATTTTGAAACGCGGTATCATTTTGCTTCTTACATTAAGTATATGAACTGAACAAATAGTGGAGATTAGATTTTGAAATGAAACCATTTATTAGATGAAGAGCAAACTTACCTATTGCTGTGATGTATAATTATGGAAAAAAAGCACATTACAATTTCTCTGGAATTTGGATGTGTGTTTCACACCATAGATAGCTGAATTTTTTTCTATAGATGGATCCATTATGGAAACGTTTTTAGCTAACTGTGAAAAAAAAACATGGAACGCCTTCCCAATTTCGTGGTGGATCGAGCATCGCACTATTAAATTCAGTTCTCACAAAATTGGAAATTTCTACCCTACATGAATTTGAAATTCGGTGCTGTAAAATAAAATTTGTCAGTCAAATTTAATTTTGATTTGTAACAGTCAAAAATAACCCACACACCATATAGATCCATGTCTATTAGACATAAATTATGTATTTAAGAAGAACTTCATTCTAAAATAGGGCTGTCCAACATCAAGCCTGCACATACTTGAAGGTGTTATAAATAATATATATTCCACTTTAAAATATTCAGAAAAATATCTACCCCCTGTAGATCGACGGTGCTTAAAATCACCCCTTGTACAGATATTGTACACGAACACCGAGCCATGTTGATTCCATAAATTTCCCATTCCATTTATTACTTGTCATACGATATCAGCTGAAAATTTACACAGAATATTTATTTGATAAACACATGTGTCATATTGCCTTTAAAGGCAAGGAAAGCGCTAACACGTATATGGGTAACGGGAGGATATTCTCGCAGGCCACATAATTCAACTGACGGGTCTCAAGTGGCCCGAGTGCTGTGGGCTGAACAGTATCCTCTTATAAGTTGTTAATGTATAACACAGATATTATTAAGGTATATAATTTTTACAGAAATGTCACTCAATGTTCAATATTTACGAAATGAATTTGAACATACCTGTCATGTATCTCAGTAAATGATTTGTATTTCCAATAACATTCAATATGAAAGTGGAGTTTTATTTTCGTTAACATATATGGCACAGATGTGCTTCCTGCCACAAATGACGTAATTTTTGGAGGAAATGTTGAATTTGGGAATTTGCTTCAATCGACACTAAAGGGTAGCTTACTTAGTACTGTTTGACCGTCGAATTTATCCAGTTTCTATCGATGTAATCAGTCATGGAAATATGTTTATTAAGAAAAAAGACTGAAGCAAATTTGTAAGTAACAAATATGCAGAAATTGTAGCAGATATCCTTCCGTTAGTCATATTAATTCTCTCGAAATATGTTCGATTGGAATATGATTAATTAGTTCCTCCCAGATTCCACTTCTAATCAAATGCAAATTATATGTAATATACACTTGAGAGAAGTTTGTACTTAGTAATAGCGAAAGTATAGAAAAGTTCATTTACAACATATATTTGTATATTAACTACGTGTGTTTATTTCACTGAGCAAATAGTCTACTAAGTTTATTCACTTCTTGATTTACCTTGGATGATTACTTGTGGCTCTTCACAAGGAGTTGCCCCTGGATGCATTTTAATCTAGCCATGCCACTTTAGATATAAAAATATCCAGTTTAGATATCAGGCTTAAATTGTCTACTTTAGTTATGTTTAAATAACATTCAGTTGTTACTTGGAGGCAGAGGGGGCCGCCATATGTGCTTGTTTTTCATGCGACTTCAATTACTGTCAGTTGTTATATCTGGGCGATTTAGTTTAGTATTTGGGGGAAGTTATTGGGAAAAGGGGCAAGGAATATGAAGGAAACACTTGTTGAAACATGTCAGCTGAAATCAGTGTAGCAGAAATACAGCACCTCCACAGTATCTGTAAAATAATGTTGTTTATTAAACATGATAATTATAATACTGGTTAATGATTGGTAGCAGTTGAGCAGTCAGGAAAACGGGTATTTTATGCTTTGTGGTTTATTCGTTTTCCAGCAGATGGCAGCAGTTTTAAGGGCAACGAGTGTCCCACAGGATCATTGGTTTGAGATTATTGCTTTAATGAATCAGATTATACATGTCATGTCAGTTTATCAACAGATATGACTATAGCACACAAAATGCAAAGTATAACACTCTTGTACAACATACGTACACCTTGGCCTCTAGGTCATGCAGAAGTAAACACAGCATACAGTCATACACTTTTGTGTATGTGGTATCTATACATTCTGCATAGCAATGGATAGGACCCTATGGTAAAGATGAACGCAACCCCTATCATTTTGAGATCACGAAATAAAACTGAATTACAAGAAATGTTTCATAGAAATTTTAAACGTGTTTTTTTCATTATAAAGATTATTCATTTCCAAAACCATTCCTCAGTAATTTGTCAATAGCATTACCATGAAAGCTATTTCCCTAATAACTGACCACTTAAACTTGCTATACTTAAACGTTCCGAAAAATACCCCTCAGGTGTGACATGGCGTATATTTCATACGTGGAACTGATCAAGACGGGTGCAAAGTATTAAAATACAGGAACAGCCAATTTCTATATTTTGTGAAGAGAGTAAATAAAAAGATGGCGAAATGGGAGGGCTTGTGTCCGGATTTTCACTGCATTCTTCATAAAATTACTCGCTCGATTTTGATGATGTTTATAATGGGGGGCGGGCTGAAAGTTATCAGAGGATTTGTTGGCATCACGCATAAGCCCGCATAAAGATGTGTCAAAGAAAGCACGAGAAGAACTTGAACGTGGGAGGACGACACAAGGACTCGTCCTGAAAGGAAAATTCGAGGCATGTGCAAGTGCACAAGCAGACGTGCTGCACGGAATCCCAGCAGATACGAATATAAAAAACTGGACACTGTAGAGAGGTCGACCCCCTCCAAAACGAAAAAGAAGCAGAGCAGAGAGGAGGAGCCGGTAAATTAGAAGCACCGGCCTCCCGAGCAAGAGTGAATGTGCGATGGGAGAAAGTGAAGGAGTGAATGTGATACAACTGGATCTTCTGGCAAGTTAACAGGAAACCGCTCGAGACGAGCTGGTCTTAAGAGGGGAGCGGAGGTAACTGACTAAGGATGGTGGCGGCAAGAGGAGTAGCCGGACAAGAAAGAAGAAGACGTTGCAAGCACAGCAACGGGAAGAAAAAGGAATGGGGATATACCGTTAGGCTATTCGGGACGAACAGCCTTAAGAAGGGAGCAGTGTGACGTATTGCGCTATGGAGGACTTCCTCTGCCCCGTCAGCGGTGACGTAACAACATCGGGCGCTGTCGCTACTACGGTATCAGGCCAGTCAACACTCCGCCCCATCCCCCGCGGTGACGCAGCGAGGGATGATGCTGTTGCTATGCAGCAGTAAACAACTCTCGACAGCGTTGTCCAGCAACATCTGTAAACACGGCGACTAGGCAACAAGGAAGCGAGGCGTTTTCCCATTGTCTGGCTGAGGGTTTATAAGAGAACCACACTGCCTAAGGAGTCAGTGATTACCCCGCGTGGAGGCGGGGTCGAATACCTCCACCGTGCACCTGCGAATCGTAGGAGGCGACGAAAAGAGAAGTCACAATTCTGAGACAGTAAAATATGGTCGCGAGTCCCAAGGGACTCGGACCCGAGTAAGACTGCGCTGGCAAGGATCAGCAGCATATACAAAAGACAGACCCGTCCTATCGTCAGAGAAGGCGCCCCACAGAAACAAGACGGTAACTGTCAAACGGTAACAATTAATATCTGGTCATGAGCCCCAAATGGGGCTCGACACTAAGACTTACTGACAGACTGACCGTCAGTCGCAATGTGACTTTGACTTTGACTTAAGGAGTCAGTTAAAATGTAGCAGCCGCCGAAGACAGTTGAAATATAGCAGCAGTCGCGGAAAGAAGACCCGAACACGTGGTTAGAAGATTTTATGTGATAACCTGTGATAGTGCGCGATAACTGAGAAGTTTGCACGTGAAGACTTATTGCGTGACTTCACGCTTGTGTGCTGTAGTGCAGTTATATTGGGAGTGTGTAATTAAGAGAGACTTGTATAGCTCCCGCATTATAAATACGTGAAGACTACAGAAGAGATTATTATGTAGAGTTGTAAAGTGTGTAAACCCGTAACAGTGTTATAAGTATTTGTAGTTATGATTTGTAGGTTGTTAAATAAACCAATTAATAATCTGAATGGCGTCTTCAGTAGCAAAACACCTTACAGTATTTTGATTATTGGTGGTCAAACAAAGACCCTCTTTAATGAAGATCACATTCAAATTTAATAGTTTTTTGACGTCAGAAAATGTATGCATAGTGAAAAAATCGTTGCTCGTTTGATGTATTTCCTTCAGTTATCTCTAAATGAACAAAGTACAAATTTGAATAGAATAAAGAATGTAGCAGCAGGCTCTTTAGTACAGGTAGCCATATAAACTCAGTAAGGTGGGAGCTTTTAATTATTATCGACAAATTGGTAATATATGAATTTGTTCGGAAGACAATTATGGATTGCTGAATAGACCTGTACCAGTCCTGATATAGTGA